AAAATTTCCTTAAGATTTACTGAGACCCCACTGCATGTCTGGAATTGCACCACTGTTGGAGGAGATCATTAAGAGGATGTGACTGTCAGTGGACTCAGGCAAAATAAAAACTCCTTACACCCTCCCCTGTCTTTGGAATATTAATTTCACCCGCTGTTCTCATTCTTCCACTTCAAGGATGCAGCCTTGAGAGGATGTGTTATTAAGATCATCTGGAATGTATAGGGTTTCCTTGATGGCTCTGTGGGTAAAGAATCTGCCTGGCAATGCAGGAGACACAGGAGATGACAGTTCGATTCCTGGGTTCAGATCCCCTGAAACTGTTTCAGAGCAAATGGCAATCTACTCCAGTATTCTTGCCTGGAGAATCCCATGGACAGAGGAGCCTGGTGGGGTCACAAAGAGTTGAACACAACTGTGTGATGGAGCACCTTTGCATGCTGGAATGTATATGTGACTGAACTCCATTAGAGCTTCTATGTAGGGCTGGTAGGAGAGGAGATCTATTCATCTTGCAGCTGCCAAAGACAGCAAGTCTGGTATGTAAGTTCCTTTCCTTATTAAAACTGCCACCTAAAAATACACAATGGAGAAAAGACAATCTCTTTAACAAGTGGTGCTGGGAAAACTGGTCAACCACTTGTAAAAGAATGAAACTAGAACACTTTCTAACACCATATACAAAAATAAACTTAAAATGGATTAAGGATCTAAATGTAAGACCAGAAACTATAAAACTCCTAGAGGAGAACATAGGCAAAACACTCTCTGACATAATTCACAGCAGGATCCTCTATGACCCACCTCCCAGAATATTGGAAATAAAAGCAAAAATAAAGAAATGGGACCTAATGAAACTTGAAAGCTTTTGTACAACAAAGGAAACTATAAGCAAGGTGAAAAGATAGCCTTCAGAATGGGAGAAAAGAATAGCAACTGAAGAAACAAAGGATTAATCTCAAAAATATACAAGCAACTCCTGATGCTCAATTCCAGAAAAATAAATGACCCAATCAAAAAGTGGGTCAAAGATCTAAACAGACATTTCTCCAAAGAACACATATAGATGGCTAACAAGCACATGAAAAGATGCTCAACATCACTCATTATCAGAGACATGCAAATCAAAACCTCAATGAGGTGCACGGCAGTCAGAATGGCTGCTATCCAAATATCCACAAGTAATAAATGCTGGAGAGGGTGTGGAGAAAAGGGAACCCTCTTACACTGTTGGTGGGAATGCAAACTAATACAGCCACTATGGAGAACAGTGTGGAGATTCCTTAAGAAACTGGAAATAGAACTGCCATATGACACAGCAATTTCACTCCTGAGCATACACACCAAGGAAACCAGATCTCAAAGACACACGTGTACCTGAATGTTCATCGCAGCACTGTTTATAATAGCCAGGACATGGAAGCAACCTAGATAACCATCAGCAGAAGAATGGATAAGGAAGCTGTGGTACATATAGTCAATGGAATATTACTCAGCCATTAAAAAGAATTCATTTGAATCAGTTCTAATGAGGTGGATGAAACTGAAGCCCATTATACAGAGTGAAGTAAGCCAGAAAGATAAACACCAATACAGTACACTAACACATATATATGGAATTTAGAAAGACGGTAATGATAACTCTATATACAAGATGGAAAAAAAGACACAGATGTATAGGACAGAATTTTGGACTCTATGGGAGAAGGCGAGGGTGGGATGATCTGAGAGAACAGCACTGAAGCATGTATATTATCAAGTGTGAAACAGATCGCCAGTTCAGGTTGGATGCATGAGACAAGTGCTTGGGGCTGGTCCACTGGGATGACCCAGAGGGATTAGGATAGGGAGGGAGGTGGGAGGGGGGTTCAGGATGGGGAACACATATAAATCCTTGGCTGATTCATGTCAATCTATGGCAAAAAACCACTATGATATTATAAAGAAATTAGCCTCCAACTAATAAAAATAATTGGGAAAAAAATAAAAATGTATCAATAATATTAAAAAATAAATAAATAGAAATAAAAAGACATTTCAGTAGTTCCCTTGTGCAAGGGTCCCCAAGCTTGAGCCACCAATCAGTAACAGCAGTGATATCTCTGGTTTCATTTTAGTTCTGAAATTTCAGTGTCTTTTATTTCATATTGCATTCTATTTTGTATCCCAATTTTCCATAATCAGTTCCAATTACCTTGCTTCAGTACATGAGAAACTATTGATAGCAAATACTAATAGTAGTAGTAGGAGAAATATTTATTGATATTCATCTATCACTTACAATTCCCACATACTATGCTATGTAATTTCCAATTACAAACTTATTGAAACTTAAAAATATCTCTGTGTGACTTGGGTATTATTTTTATTACTGGATTTTTACAGATGAGAAGATTTAAATACGAAAAAATGATATGCTGTTGCTGCTAAGACGCTTCAGTCATGTTCTACTCTATGCGACCCTATAGACGGCAGCCCAGCAGGCTCCCTCGTCCCTGGGATTCTCCAGGCAAGAATACTGGAGTGGGTTGCCATTTCCTTCTCCAATGCATGAAGGTGGAAAGAGAAAGTGAAGTCGCTCAGTCGTGCCTGACTCGGAGCGACCCCATGGACTGCAGCCTACCAGGCTCCTCCGTCCATGGGATTTTCCAGGCACGAGTACCGGAGCAGGGTGCCATTGCCTTATTACTCAGCCAAATACTTGTGGCTACAGCCTAACTGACTAGAACTTCAAGCTATGGCAGATGGAACTGTATGTTATCTTTGCCTCTGGCAACCCCTCTCTTATTGCTGATTCTTCAAGTCAAGTTGGGGGGTTCAAGCACAGGGCTATTTGTCTTTGCCATAACATGTCAATCCATTTGGGTTTTCCCACTGCCATAGAAGCGGGTTCATGGAAACCTTTAAAGTTATTTTATGTGACAATGCTCTGCTTCAGTTTTGAAAATGGTCTTCAATTGTGTCAGTGTTGTACTGCAACAGGCAGATGGCATAGGGTTGGGAATCACATCTCACTTCTATTAAAAAGGAAATTCTCATTTCTATATAAAACTATATTTTATCATTTTTATGACATTCTGAAAGGGTAATTTTTAAAATCTGAATTTACACCAATATTTTTGACAAAATAAAAAAATTAAAGCAACAATGAGATGGAGATCATCAAAAATTAAATTCACATTTCATATTACAATTTTGTTTTGCTTCTCTAAACAGCATATCCAATTTTGATACGAATATGTGGACTGAGTTTCATTTTCTTAACTACTGATGGCAAAATGTAAAGTTGTGCAAGCATTTTTAAGGAGAAAGTTAGAATATATATATCTAAAAGTCTTGGAAATATGCCTATTTCTACATAAAAGCATTTTTAAGAAAAGTGTGAGTGTTTAAAAATCTGGTACATTCATGCAGTATTTCTTGATTGAAGTTAAAAATATAAATATGCAAAATATACCATAATGTTATAAAGCATATGTTTTAAATATATATATATATATTATATATATATATATAATATATGTATATGAAAAACAATATATCAAAATGATTGTCCTGGATTTCACAATAGCCTTTTGCCTAGAGAATAGTATTATGGTCAATTCTTATTATCCTTTTGTTTATATTTAAATTTTTAATAATATTAACTAACATTGATTTAAAATAATAATAAATGCAATGAAACAAAGACGCTTACTCCTTAGATGGAAAGTTATGACCAACCTAGATAGCATATTCAAAAGCAGAGACATTACTTTGTCAACAAATGGCTGTCTAGTCAAGGCTATGGTTTTTCCAGTGGTCATGTATGGATGTGAGAGTTGGACTATAAAGAAAGCTGAGTGCCCAAGAATTGATGCTTTTGAACTGTGGTGTTGGAGAAGACTCTTGAAAGTCCCTTGGACTGCAAGGAGATCCAGCCAGTCCATCCTAAAGGAGATCAGTCCTGGGTGTTCATTGGAAGAACTGATGTTGAAGCTGAAACTCCAATACTTTGGCCACCTGATGTGAAGAGTTGACTCATTGGAAAAGACCCTGATGCCGGGGGGATTTGGGGCGGTTGGAGAAGGGGACGACAGAGGATGAGATGGCTGGATGGCATCACCAACTCGATGGACATGAGTTTGAGTAAACTCCGGGAGTTGGTGATGGACAGGGAGGCCTGGCGTGCTGTGATTCATGAAGTCGCAAAGAGTCAGACACGATGAACGACTGAACTGAACTGAACTGAACTGAACTTACTGATAAGTGAAACCTTATATTATCTTCTCAATAGCACAAATGAAATTTCAAAGAAAAATACATGATTAGATAATTTTTTTCTTAAATATTCCTTTATAAATTATCTTTATAACTAGATACCATAAAATAATTAGAACCAATGCCTCAAAGTTCTAAGAACACTATGTCTAGAGGGTGAGATATGGGACAATTCTTCCCTCATTTTTACTTTTGCATTTTCTATCAAAATTAACTTTGATTTTTACAAAGTTAATAAAGTAACTAAATGGCAAAACACATGACACAATCAGCAAATTTGAGTGCCATTATAATATTAGGATGGAAATTCAGTAACAGTGGAACTGTGCTACCCTAGAGCTGCAATGACTCCTAAATGCAATAATAGATAGAAGAAGGTAGAAAACTGGATTTACATGATAATCAAGCAAGATGGAACTATTCCTAGATATTAAATGACAAAGGTCATTATCAAATTTCCACTTAATATTTTCATTTAATATTTGTGTATATTTGCATAAAAGTACTTAAAAGACATATCTGCATAAAATACTTAAAATTAGGTATATGTGAGAATTAGGTATATATATTTACAGCTATTAAATTTTTAAATATTATATGACTAAACAAAATATATTTAAAATAAATACCTTATAAGAGAAGGCTTTATTATAACCAGTATCACTTTAAATTTGTTTTCCAAATGTACCAGATATCAATGTGAGTATGTTTATCATAATTTGCATACTTGAGCTACTTACGTTTGATTTCACAAGAATTTTGTAGGATTGATCTGCAAATTGAGTGGTAGAATTATTTTCTGTTATGGGAGAAAAATCACTTTTTTTATCCCTTATCAGATAAATCACATGCTCAAATGTAGTTGAAGATTCCAGTGGTTCAATTCCATAACTGACATTTTCAAACTGCAATAATCCCCTGAATATTGAAACACATAAAAAAGAAATTTAAAATATGGAGTTCTCAATAATAAACATAAATATTAATATAAAAAATTAAGTAGAAATTATCAAATTAAATTATTAAATTATGTAGAAATTATTAGAATTAAGTAGATAATTTGATAATAATGATTTTGTCACCTAATATCTAATAATAGCCCCGTCTTACCTCCATTAACATGTAAACCCAATTTTCTACCTTCTTCTATCTATTATAGCATTTAAGAGTCATTGCAGTTCTAGAGTGGCTCAGTAATAGGGCTATTTCTCATTCTGATGACAGCTTTTTCTGAATGAATTTTATAATTGCAAGCCTGGGAGAGACACAAAGAGTATAGCGGAAAAGATAAGATAAGCAGGCACAGAAAGTAGATGAGAAGAAACACAATGTAAGTGTCTATCTTCTTGTTCTTCCATATACCCTTCAAGAAGTTTCTAAAAGTTAAAGGGTACACTAGATATCAACTATGTACATCTCTGGAATATGTCATTACCTGAGTCCAGAGCAGGTACTAAGTGTCACAACTGAATTTGGAATCTCTGTGGCATATCCTTGATAAAAGCAATGGCCCTGCACAGGAGTAATATAAAGACACATCAGTAATGATTAGCAAACAAAGCGTTTGGTTTTATTGATAACCCTCATCCTAGACATCATCAAACATCAGATTTAAGCATCCCATTATACAATTCAACAGACATTTCATTTCCTCTTTAGCTTTCTACAGTCTTTTCCCCTTGACACTCTTCTGTCTATAATCACAACTCCTATTCTCTCCCAAAGGATTTTTGCTGTAAATCTGAACTTTTCATAAATAATGTTCTGATCTACATCTTGTCATTCTCAGTCCACATTTTGAATATATAGCCTAAAAATGCTACCTCAAGGTAATCACCAGCATTAATTTGACTTCCACTGTGAACATTTCATTTGTTTTATTCTAAGTAAGACCAAATTGCAAGCCTGGGAGAGACACAAAGAGTATAGCGGAAAAGATAAGATAAGCAGGCACAGAAAGTAGATGAGAAGAAACACAATGTAAGTGTCTATCTTCTTGTTCTTCCATATACCCTTCAAGAAGTTTCTAAAAGTTAAAGGGTACACTAGATATCAACTATGTACATCTCTGGAATATGTCATTACCTGAGTCCAGAGCAGGTACTAAGTGTCACAACTGAATTTGGAATCTCTGTGGCATATCCTTGATAAAAGCAATGGCCCTGCACAGGAGTAATATAAAGACACATCAGTAATGATTAGCAAACAAAGTGTTTGGTTTTATTGATAACCCTCATCCTAGACATCATCAAACATCAGATTTAAGCATCCCATTATACAATTCAGCAGACATTTCATTTCCTCTTTAGCTTTCTACAGTCTTTTCCCCTTGACACTCTTCTGTCTATAATCACAACTCCTATTCTCTCCCAAAGGATTTTTGCTGTAAATCTGAACTTTTCATAAATAATGTTCTGATCTACATCTTGTCATTCTCAGTCCACATTTTGAATATATAGCCTAAAAATGCTACCTCAAGGTAATCACCAGCATTAATTTGACTTCCACTGTGAACATTTCATTTGTTTTATTCTAAGTAAGACCAAACTATCTTAACTGACCTTTCTTCACTATCTTCTACTATCTCACCATGTTGATCATCCTTACTTGAAAGTCTCTTCTCAACGGACTTTCAAAACATTACTCTTCCTACGTTCTCCGCTGATATAGTATTTTACTGAATAGTTCCTTCTCTTCCCTAAGAAGTGTACTAATATCTAGAATTGAACTTGTTCCTCAGTTAATCCTGGACTATGAACAAACTATTATCATCACATTCTCATGTACGAATGTGTTTCTGTGGCATAAGTGTCCATACATAAAAATCCATCAGTAAGCATTCACTCATCTCAATACTCGGCTTAACTCCTATCTCCAACCTACTGATAGAGGCAGAGCATACATGACTCCACCGTCAGACAACAGTAGCAGCCACTGCTGCTCACAGTGGTCCCAGCAAACTATACCACAAGGCTTCACAAAGACGTAGAATGCAAACCAGCTCCCAACACTTTACCCAGCAGAAGACAGCATCTCAGTTTATGCATCTCCTGGTCTTGCACACCCAATAAGAGAAAATGATCCTTGTGAGATTATTCTCAACATTCCAAATTCAAAGCAGCCAACAGTGGCCTAGATTAAAAACTTTCCTCTCTCAGGGGCACTAGCAGAGATGAGAAGCATATTGATAGCCAGTGACTGACATACAGCTAGAGGAAATGTTCTTCATTATATGGTTCCCTCATCAACCAACATCACCAAGCAACGGAGGGTGGCCCAGGAAAGAAACTTTTCCTGCCATGGGCTGCCCCGGCAGAGATCCAGTGAGCTCCACATGAGCCAGGAAGAATGAAGGACAACAAAATAATATCAAAAGTCCCAAGAAAGCTAAAAGGTTACTGGAGCAACAATCACACTAAATTTGAACTTAAACTGGGTGATTGTCTCAACAATAGAAGATTTCAATGACAAAGATACAATCTAAATCTATATACTATATCAGGAACCAAGAATATCACAACAAAATGGGAGAAGACACCAGATGCTGCAATATTGAGATTAGCCACATGCTGGAATGATCCAATGGATTTTAAAGCAGCTGTGAAAATACTCATTCAGTGAACATTTTAAAATCATCCGCAAACAACTGAAAGGATAAGAACATTTCAGAAATGAAATAGAAGCTATTAAAAATAAGAACTAAGAAATTAGAACCAAATAATATAATAATAAAAACAAACAAAGAAAACAACCCAAACTGGGTAGGCACAAAACGTAGAGTGCAGATGACAAGGGACGGAATCAATGAACTTGAGACAGACGAGTAAAATTTACTCCATATATAAGTCACAGGAAAATTAACTAAGAAAATGAATAGAGTTTCAAGAACACATGGAACATTACCAAAAGTTTAAGATATATGTCAGAATCCACTAAGGAGAACCAGAAAGAATGCAGAGTAGAAAAAACATTCAAAGAAATAAAGGTGTAATACTGGTCAAAAGATGGTGGTTTAGAAATCCCTGGACCTGCCATCCTCCAACAAATACACCAAGTGAGTAGCAATTGATGCACCAATTCCATCTGTAAGAGACCATGAAATAACTGACTGGCTCATTCACATCTTTCAGTGAATGCAACATCAGATGCACCAAAGCCAGTAGGGAGATTCGGGATGACTGTTCAGCAGAGACTCTGCCCCAGAGTACTACCTTTAGGTTAGAAAAGAGATAATCTAGCTTCCAGAGTGACCCAGGGCAACAGAGGGTGTTGTGCAAGCAAGCAGTGCCCCAGAGTTTCCGAGGAGAATACCCAAGGAGCAGTGTCACCAAACCTGGGCAGTCTAGTCACCCAAAGCACAATGGAGATGGTGGCTTGGGTTACTTGACACCATTGCCTCCCTTCCCTGCTTGTCCACACTCATCACAGAGTGAGAAGAAGAAAAATCCCACCTCTCTGCCTCCACTGCAGGAGACAATAGTTGACTGATTGAATGCAGTGTTCCCACTTCACCAATACTGACCCAAGAACCAGCATTTGTCTCTCCAATCTTGCAGCACCGATGCCTCAGTACAGTCTGAGGGAGAACAGAGGCACTAACTTGGGATGACAGAGAACAGTGATCATCCCTTCTGACCAGCAGAGACAGAGCAGAAAACCCCACAGAGGTCTGCTTCTTCCTGAAGAGAGAAACAGCTGGTAGAGGACCCCCACGTCACTGGGTGGGCTGATTTGTGGGGGTGTCCTTCTGTACATGGCCACTCATGAAGACTCTGTGAGGGGACTGCTTTGTCTAATGAGCAGACACCAAAGTAGAGTGTTAAGTAAAATGAGGAATAAAGAAATGATATTTCAAACAAAGGAACAAGATACAGGCTGAAATTGACACTAGTGAAATAAAATTAATGAACCTAATAAAAATTTCAAAATAAAGATGTTCCCATAAAGAAGATCATTGAGGTTAGGAGAACAATGCCTGAAGCAAGTGAGAGTTTGAAAAAATAAATAAATAAAATATTAAAAGTATCAAACAGAAATCATGGAGCTGTAGAATAATTGCTGCTGTTGTTTAGCTGCCGAGTCGTGTCCAACTCTTTTGCCACCCCAAGGGCTGTAGCCCACCTAACTCTTCTGCCCGTGGGACTTTCCAGATGAGAATACTGCAGTGGATTGCCATTTCCTTCTGCAGGGGATTTTTCTTAGCTCATAGATTGAACCCGTCTCCTGCATTGGCAGGCAGGTTCTTTACCACTAAGCCACCAGGGAAGCTCTAGAATAATAACTGAACTGAAAAAATTCACTAGAAGTCTTCAGCAGCAGATTACATCAGACAGAAGAAAGACTCAGTTCAACTCCAACAGATCAAAGGAGCAAAATAAGACAGTAAAAACTTCAAATCATAAAGGAGTTATGGGATAGTAATTAAAGCTTCCACTTGGAAACTAGAAGAAAGAAAAGCAAATTAAATCCAAAGTAAGTGACAGAAAAGAAATATTTAGAATTGATAAGCCTCTTGCCAGGCATGCTAAGAGAGATGATACTAATTACTGATATCAGTATTATAAAAGAAGTATCTTAACTATAGCCTCATGTACACTAAAAGAATAATAAAGGAATGAGATAAACAACTCTATGTCCACCAATTTGAAATCCTGGATAAAATGGTCCAACTATTTGAAACACACCATTTCTCAAACTTCATTTAAGAGGAAATAGACAATCTGAATACATCTGATTCTATTAAAGAAGTTGAATAAAATTGATCACCTGCCAAATCACAAAGCAGCAGGCAGGCCCAGATGTTGTCACTGTTGAATTCTGCCAAACACTTGAGTAAACCAAATCAAATCTCTACAGATTCCTTCAAAATATAGAAACAGAACAAATACTTCAAACTCATGCTATGTGGGCCAATATTATACTAAAACAAAAACAACCAATGACACTTAAAAAAATAACTGCACATTAAAATCTCTCAAGAGAATATATGCAAAAATTCTCAACAACATATTAGGAAATAAAAGTCAACAATAAATTTAAAAATTGTAAACCAAAACCAAGTGGCATTTATCCCAGATATGCAAAGGAGGTTCCACATTCAAAATTCGGGTAATATAAGAAGTAAAACTCTCACTGTTTGCAGATGACATGATCCTCTACATAGAAAACCCTAAAGACTCTACCAGAAAATTATTAGAGCTAATCAATGAATATAATAAAGTTGCAGGATACAATATAACACACAGAAATCCCTTGCATTCCTATACACTAACAATGAGAAAACAGAAAGAGAAATTAAGGAAACAATACCATTCACCATTGCAACAAAAAGAATAAAATACTTAGNATGGGGTTGCAAAGAGTCAGACATGGCTGAACGACTTTCACATTCATTCATTCATATATATACATATATGTACATTTTTTAAATCAATGAGTAAATATCTTTTTCTACACTAGTCCTTTATTGAACCTAATATTTGTATACAGTAAAATGCACAGATCTTAAGTGTATAATTAGATGAGTTCTGAAAAATGTTTACACCTGTGTAACCATCACATTAAGATTACAGAAAATTCCTATCATCTTAATCTTAACCTTCATAAGCAGCCACCATCCTGATTTCTATCACCATTACTTTAAGCTATTTCTGATTTTCATATAATTGGAATCAATAAATACATACTCTCTGGGGTTTGGCTTATATTTTGCTCCATATGATAACTGTAGATTATAGCTATATTATTGCATGTATCAATAGTTTATTCCTTCATTTTACTACTAAGTAGTACTCTATTTTATGAATCTATCACAATTTGTTTTCCCATTTTCCTATAGATGGAAATTTTAGCTGTTTTCAAATTTTTGTTTGCTATGAATAAAACTGCTTATACATTCTTATATAAGTCTCTTTGTGAAGGTATATTTTCATTTCTTGAGGATTAAATACCCAGCAATAAAACTGCAAGGTCATAGGTTAGGTATTTAACTAACTATAAGAAACTGCAAAAAAAAAAGAAACTACAAAACAATTTTCCAAAGTAGTTATGCCGTTTTATACTCCTACTAGCAATGTTTAAGAGTTCCAGTTGCTCTACATCCCATCAGTATTCCATGTTATCAGTCTTTAACTTTATCCCTTTCAGTGGGTGTGAAATAATA